CGGGCCCTTTACAGGACCTGTGGTCACGGTCGGGCCCTTTACAGGACCCATGGTCACGGTCAACTATGACATTTTCAATCAACATAGCGCACCTCCAATGAAAAAATAACTTAACCTGCATTTTTAAAATGTACAGAATACTAGTAAAAAAAAATTGTGTCAAGGGCTAGTGAGTATACTTGAAAGGCTTTATATTTCAATAAGCATTGCGCCCTTTACGTAAAAAATAACAATTGACAACATTTCAAATTGATAATGGTATAAAAATTAAGAAACCATTTAGAGATTTGGTTGTCCAGAACACGATATTTCTTTTTTTAGAATTTATTATTCACTAAATTATGTGATATTTACAAAAGTAGCCAAAAATGAACGGTAAAGGATTTCAAACAAATACTAAATTCCTTTGCTATAATTTTTCTTTTATTACTTGATTTTTGAACGTGCGTACGTCAACGGCTGACTGTTAAGCGTTGTGACAGTGAGACTGAGACGTTACTTTTGAAATAATTATTGATTACAAGTTTTAAGTAATTTTCGAAAGTTTTATCCTGGTTTTCCTTTCATGGTTTACAGCAGCCGAAATGAATGAAGACTTAGGACGACAAGTTTTAATAAAAAAAATTATACTGTATAATTGAGTTTCTTGAAAAAAAGTGTTGTGTTTGTTCATTACATATTTTATCGACGAAATCCCCCCATGTCTGGTGAAAAAATGTGCAAGCGAGCTGACTTTACCATTAACAAATTTAATTAACCAATTCTTCCGGGAAGGTTGTTTCCCGGAAGCTTTGAAGGTATCCATAGTGAGGCCTCTCTATAAAAAGGGAGACAAGACAGACCCAACAAATTATCGCCCCATAGCCTTATTACCCACCTTTGCCAAAATCATTGAAACTGCCATGTCAAACCGACTTTGTTCCTTTTTTGAGAAATTTAAAATCCTACATGATAGTCAGCACGGTTTCCGAAAGAACAGATCCACCTCGTTGGCAATATATAAATATATACAGAAAATACTACATTCTATCAATAATAAAGAATATGCAGTCGGCCTCTTGCTTGACATGAGCAAAGCATATGATAGGGTAAATCATAAGATTTTGCTACAAAAACTATACGCAATGGGAATAAGAGGAATAGCTCACCGCTGGTTATTTTCATACCTGGAAAATCGTTCGCAATATGTGGAAATAGAAAACACGGATTATAGTACGGGGAAAATTGCTCGTATAAGATCTGAGCGAGCTCCAGTGTTAGGGTCTATACCACAAGGAAGTGTGTTGGGCTGTATTCTCTTCCTGGTCTATATAAATGACCTTCCACCACATGTGGGTTATATCTGTGTCTCGTTTGCCGATGATATTTCCATAGTATTGACTTGTAAAGACACCCACGCGCTAATAAGAGACCTGAACCTCGCATTGGATAATACTACAAAATGGCTGGACATAAATGAGTTGCAATTAAGCCTTAAAAAGACAAAATTACTCGAATTTAAACCATACCAAAAAGCACCACTAGACATAAATTATTCCATACAATTTAACAAAAATTGAAACTGTAGACTCGGCCACCATGCTCGGTATAGAGATCGATAAGCACCTTACTTGGAAACCGCATATTTTAAAACTGTGAAATAGATTATCACCTGTATATATGCCCTTAGTAGATTAAAACGACTCACGAATAACAAAATCTGCACTTGCAGGTTACTACGCTTATGCACACTCTAGACTCTCCTACGGGATCATCCTTTGGGGAAACTGCACGGACGTTCAAGAAATTTTTGTTCTCCAAAAGAAGTGCATAAGAATATTAGCAAACATAGACCAAATGCAATGGCGACTTATTACGCGTACGCATACTCTTGGTTATCTTATGGCGTTGTACTGTGGGGAAATAGTGTTGATGTCCCAGCTTTGTTAACCCTGCAAAAGAAACTAATTAGAATAATAGTAAATATCCAACCAACAGACAGTTGTAAACCTTTCTTTCAAAACCTCAAAACTTTAACATTACCTAGCCTATACATATTTGAAATATGTAAATTCGTAAAAAAACACCCAGAATACTTCATAAAACGTAAAGATGTACCAAGTGGATTCGCATTACGACATAATAATAGATTAATGTTGCCTACTTCCCGACTTACTTTACACTCAACGAGCCCCTTAGTAATGTGCGTAAAAATATTTAATAAACTACCAAATCCCTTCAAGGACGAAACCAATGAAAAATGCTTTATTAAAAAACTAAAAGACCTATTATTAATAAAAGCTTATTACTCCTTGCAAGAATATTTCAACGACACATTTCCGACCTAAAACTACTAAAAGTACAGATAACACAAATATATAAATAAATTAATTAATTAAATAAAGTGATCTTGATATAAATTATAAATTAATAGAAACAAAATAAATACTGCTCAATTGATAAAAACACATTTCACATATTTTCTAAAAAAATAAATAATATAAAGACAATATTATATTTTCCAATTTCATCATTCGTAATATTTTTTGTTTGAACATTATGTAAACATAAGACAAAACATAAATCTATTGCAAAAAAGACTACTGTAAAAGTAAAACCTCCTCTCTCATTAATTATATCTTTAATTATAATTTATAATTTGCAGTGCCCTATACAGGGTCCATAATGCGATGTTAACTTAGATATAAGCCTCTTACTATCCCATCTATGTAACATTATGGTAAATGCAATAAAGAATTGAATTGAATTGAATTGAATTGAAATGACATCTTGTAAAAACTATTTTCGCAAATTTAACATATTAACGATATGTTGCATATAGGTACATACTTGAAGCTTGTAAATTCACTAAAAAACACTCTGACTTGTATTCGCCGTTAAAAACAGTTAAACGAAATAATCGTAATCTGTTCAAGTTGAAATTACCTCCTTCAAAAATGAAATTGTATTCATCGGGTCCCCACTCAATGTTAATAAAAATATATAACCATCTCCCGAACAGCATAAAATGTACTCAGGATTCCAAGGCTTTTGAAAGACAATTAAAAACTCTCTTAACTGATAGGAGTTATTACAATATAACAGAATACTTTAATGATATTTTTGATGACCTTTTTTAAATGACTTAATATGAAATAATAATAGAAAATTATAATTGTATGTTTCTGTGTATAAATGTATGTAGGTAAAATTATTTCAATTAGTATTTAGTTTTAAAATTATATCAATTAGTATAGAGTTGAAACATAATGTGTAAATTATATAGTCCTACTAGACACCATTTTGTATGCGTGGTATCAATTAGGAAATAGTACTGTGTAATAATTTTTATCTTATTTTTAAAATGTGTATAGCGCCACTCTTTGCAAACACCCTTACAGGGTGTCACATGTACTGTAATTTTAATATTATTAACATGTGACTATGCAATAAACGATTACTGATTACTGATTATTAACACTATTTAAAATAAGAAATAACAATACATTCGAAAAAATTGGTGATTTTGAAATATCAAGTTACATTATGGCGAATATATAACCGAATTTTACCCATTCTTTTATCTTTTATCTTTTTTATCTTTATTCTCCAGGCATTTTTCAATTAATTTATCTTGGCCACAAGTAATTGATATAAAAAAAAATAAATACCGGTGGTGTTTAGAACAAACGCTGCTTATGCTGAAGTTCAAGCAATTTGACTGTTTTGAAATAGAAATCGAAAAACCTAAGAAGCCAACAGAACAATCGTTCACTTGGTCTCAATATAAAAATTGCAACACTATTAAATATCTTATAAATTCAACTCCTGGTGGCTTTATAAATTTCGTATCCGAAGGTTATGGTGGTCGCATATCGGAAATCAACTTAATGGCGCAAAGTGGGTTTTTAGAAACGGTGCCAGAAAACTGTGCCGTCTTAGCCAATAGGGGTTTCAAACATTTAGAATCTCACCTAGGCAAAATTAAAAATTTTACGTATCCTAAGTGTGACCAAAGACTGCAAAATGACAAAAGCAGAAGCTGTAGAAAGCAAAATAATTGCGAGTTTAAGAGTACATATAGAAAGGGTGATTAGAAGGGTTAGATTGTACAGGATTTTGAAACCACATTCATACAAATAATAAATTAGGTTAAATCATTGGATGGTGCAGTTATAGTCGCTTGTGGTCTTATTAATCTACCATCATCCATTCTTCGAAATTGTTACCACAACTTAATACTGAGCTTAATACTGATTACAATTTCTGAAGATAATAATGAATTTAGTCTTCTTTTACATTCATTTTAACGCCAGCCTCCAGATAATCTAGTTATTACTATTAATATTTTAAATATTTATATAACTTCTCAAACTCAAAGGTTGTTTGGAAGAAAATGCTTTTAGCAATAACGCCGCCTATTGTACTTCATTATTTACGTGTATCTTCACTAATGTTCCTTTATGCAGTAAATAATATTTGTATTGTATTGTAAATCTTCTGGTCAGAACTATTTCACTATTTTATATGACTATTAGGTAGCCCAGTAAAAGATTTGTCTACTTTATTTTAGTAGAATCTAATATTTTCTCTAATAAAAATTTTTCCCAAAAGCATTCTACTTCTTTTATTAATTTTTCGACATATAATCTGTCGTAATACAGCCACTGTTTATAAGGAATTTTGTTTGTTTCAAACTTAGGATCTGCAACTACAAACAGAGCTTTTTTTACCTGTAGCATGCATTTGCAATTGAACTTGGGCTTTATATTTGTCATTGATTACATTGTCTTTTCCGTAGTTCGACATCGATTTTTCAGTGAATGGGCATTTAATTTCAACAACAAAAGCGTCTGCATCTCCATCTGGTAAAGCTCCAATAAAAGGTGTAATGAACCTACAACTTGATATCTTAAGTATAATTAATTAAATTTTTATTGAATTGATATTCAATTATTTTTTGTGAAATTACTCCACTAGTTTGTTATAATTATTAATACAAAGATCGAACACTCAGAAAAAATTCCTTCGATCCGGTCGGATTCGAACCGACGTCTTCTTGCATACCGTGCCAGACGCTATACCAACTAAGCCACGGAACGAACCAACGGACCTCACGAATTTTTCTATGTGATTGCGTCGTGTCTTTGTACTTGGTCTTTCAACGACTTTTTAGTCGTAGCGCCATCTATGAGAAATCTATGACAGATTTATCACCCAGTTAGTACCTTTACAGCTACTAGTCCTGGCGTTTGTCTCTGGTACTTTATATCCACCTAGTATGGTTTTCACAAGAACTTCATCCGTGTTGCATCTAGTGACTTCATGAATTTTCGATGCAGTTACTCTACCCTGTCTCAATGTGTGCCATAGTTTACTATTTGTTTGGCATCTAGTACTTTCTTCTATTTCTTTTTTTACTTGTGGTGTTAATTTTCAGTAAAATATTCTCAAAGCTTAATCCCTCTGAGAGGTAAGTTATTCTGAAGTCTAAAATTAAGTTAAATAGGCTGTATGTATCCGGCGTTATTTTTTTCACCATATAATTTGTCATTTAACAGTCATTTATTTTTATTTTTTTGCATTCTGCCAAAAATGAGTTTAAGGTTGGGATCGATTTTAAAGATATAGGAATTTGCCTAGGCCTCTTGAGTCCCATTTCCTAGGACAGAACAAACTTTTCTTTCATGGCTGCTTCGTATAGTTTTGGGCGCGACCAATAACATGCAACTGAAGTCACTGCCGGCTCTTCCGTACGTTTTATAAGCCACATCAAAAAACATATAGAATGCTTACATCCACCAGCACTAGCCGCACAATCTTCGCATTTGGGGTCTATTTATCTCTTCAGACTCATTTATGCTTGCAACTACAGTGTATGGTTTACACCGGATTCTGTGCTCTGGTTGCACGGCGCACTTTACGGTACAAATTGCAATGGTCTCGTTTTAATTGTACAAATCCAATAGAGGATTCTACGTACGAATCCCTAGACGAAACCAGCATTTTGGCTCCGCGAATTTCTGCAATGTTATACGAGTCGTTTTCTGGCATGTACTGTAATAGCATCAATAAATCTACTTTTGGTAGATTTCGCCTATCTGCCACGACAAATCCATCCGCAATTTTCATATTTTCAGGTACATTTTCACAAGAATCGAAAGTAAACAATCCTGATAACCACGCACGCTCATCCACAAACAAAAATCAAACATCAATCAGTAAGACATTTCTGTCACTGATTTTTTTAAAGAGCTTTAGACTACGACGGACACTTCTAGAAATCCTTCAGGGGTACTTACGACGTTTTGGAACAAGCAACTTTTCAAAAATAAAAATAAAATACTTTAACTAAAAATTAGAACAAATAAAAAGACGTGTCCTTTACTTTTGCAACTGTTTTCAATAGAAACAATAAAAACTAGTGGTTAAAAAAATGAAATGTTGTCAATTGCATAACGTGTGTCTGTTTTTCAATATAAATTACATTGTTAAAGTGGTTTGGTATCACAATTTATTGCAGTAAAATCTGCGTCTCACCAGAGGTATTAGATTAGACAAATCAATATAAATCCAGATGGCCGTGCTCAGCCTCGGGACCGGTATCCACTTACGTGAATAGAAGCAATCCTTTCATAATAGATGAAAGGACAGGTGGAAAAGGTACCTTCAGGCTCCAGAGCTTGACGCTCCAATCCATGGAGCAGGTGAGGTAGAGGTGGGAGAGGTCAACGGAGCCTGGCGCCGAATGGCACGACACTCCTGTGACCGGCCCCGCGTGAGCCTCCACGCACTCCGTCACGCCTGCGCGCTGCCCGTACAAGCAACCTGCAAAGTCAATCAGAAGCGCTTTTAAGTAATTAATAGATTCAGGCGTTACTTTGCGGAAGTCCATGTTAATAAAAATGGATGTAAGTTAATTTGCTACTCCGCGAACCCAGTGAAGGTTAAATCGTGCAAAATAGCTGCGCTTGTGTTGAATATTTTTTTATGCCCTTAATTATCAATAAAATTAATAAAATAAATAACACAAGCGCAACTATAGTCACAAACCAACACCAAAAATATTAATAAATAATAA